CGTGGCAGCGCGGGGTGGACTGGCTTGCCACCGCCATCGGGATGCCCGCGGAGCAGCGGTACAACAGCGTCCTGTTCGGAGGTGCGACCCCGCCAGGGCCCCGTCTCCCTTCTCGGTCCTTGTCGCCTCGCTCCCTGGGCTCCGGGCTGGGCGTCCTGGTCCGCGCGTTCGGGCTCCGGGCACGATCTGCCCGCCTTTCTTCTCTCTCCGTCGGGGCCACCTCTGCCCGAGGTTTGTGGCCCACACCCCGGGCAGCTCCATGACAGCACGACGGGGACCTCTGTCCCCCAGGTCTGATTGGCTCAGCCTTCTCCGTCCTGCAGTTCCTCTCGGCGCCCCTCACCGGCGCCGTCTCTGACTGCCTGGGGAGGCGCCCGGTGATGCTGCTGTCCCTGGTACGTCCCTGGGGCTGGGTACCCACAGGGTGGGAGCGTGCAGCCTCATCCCACCCACCCAGCGGCCGTGGGGTTGGGCTGGGCAGTGGGGAGAAGGGGGTGGCTGTGGGCCCCCATGGCCACCGGCTGGCCTTCCTCACTTCCTGGAGTGGGGGGCTTGCGGCAGCAGCAGCCCCTGTTGCTGAGCCAGGCTGTCCAAGAGCTGCTCCTGCCACCCGCGGAGCATCAGGAACACGAGTGGCCTTTACATACTTCAGAACAGAGCAGAGCCCGAGGGATGTTGCCTGAGTTTGCTGGTCCACTCCGGGCCCCTCTTAGCCTCAAGTGACCACACCTGCCCCTTGGCCCCTGCCCCTGCCCCTGCCCCTGCCCCTCGGCAGACTGGTCTGGCCACCTCGTATGCCATGTGGGCCACCTCTCGGAGCTTCAAAGCCTTCCTGGCTTCCAGGGTGATTGGGGGCATCAGCAAGGGGAACGTTAGCCTCTCCACAGCCATAGTCGCTGATCTGGGCTCGCCACTTGCCCGAAGCCGAGGCATGGTGAGTGCACAGGCTGGGAGACAAGGGGCCGCAGGGCACCCCTGGGCCTGGGTCTCCCTGCCCAGCTAAGGCGGCCTTCTCTGTAGGCGGTCATCGGGGTGGCCTTCTCACTGGGCTTCACGCTGGGCCCCATGCTCGGCGCCTCCCTGCGGGTGGAGACAGCACCCTGGTTTGCCCTCCTCTTCGCCGTCTCCAACTTGCTGTTCGTCTTCTGCTTCCTGCCTGAGACGCTGCCCCCGGAGAAGCGGGTAGGGCCAGGGCCCAGAACTGACAGCGCTCGGAGTTGGGGGTGCGGGTCCATGGATCTGTAGGAATTTCCCATGTGTGCCAGTCGCAGAGGCCAGGGATGCCAGGTGGCCTTCTCCTGGTGTCCAGAGGCTTTGGGGCCACAGTGGTTCCTGGAGCCCCTGTGCTCCTCAAGGTCCTTGCGTGAGGCCTGGAGGTAGGACTGGTGGGTGCAGGGGTCATGCCCGTCCTTAGGCTGCCAGCCCAGCAGCTGCCCCAGCCTCCTGGCAGGCCTCTCCACTGCCCACCCTGCAGGCGTCCTCCGTCTCCCTGGGGGTCCACGCCGCTGCTGACCTGCTCAGTCCCCTGGCCCTGCTCCGCTTCTCAGCCGTTGCCCGAGGCCAGGACCCACCCACTGGAGACAGTAAGGAGCTGCCCGCCACCCTTTCACTCCCTGAGGCCGCCCCATGACCCGGGCCCTTCCCTCCTGCAGTGGCCCTCACGGTGCCCTCCCACCTGCTCCCCAGGGCTGGGCAGCCTGCGCCGCCTGGGCCTGGTCTACTTCTCCTACCTCTTCCTGTTCTCGGGCCTGGAGTTCACGCTGAGCTTCCTCGTGCACCAGCGCTTCCAGTTTAGCAGGTGGGGACGCCCTGTTGTCTCCCCCTCCTGTCACCCTGTTTCAGGGATGACGCCCAGCCCCCACCCCCAAAGTCTCCACGGCCACTTCTGCCCTGGCCCGTCCCGTACGGGGCTGGGCACTGACTGCCCCCCAGCCTGCAGCAGGGGAAGATGTTCTTCTTCATCGGCCTGACCATGGCCACCATCCAGGGTGCTTATGCCCGGCGGATCCACCCTGGTGGGGAAGTTGCAGCCGTGAAGCGGGTAGGGGGCTCCATCCAAAGTGGGTGGCGGGCGGCGCCGGGAGCGCTGTGGGAAGCAAGGGGAGTGCTGAGGCCACCTGCATCCCCTGCAGGCCATCTTGCTGCTGGTACCTGCCTTCCTCCTCATTGGCTGGGGGCACTCTCTGCCCATGCTGGGCCTGGGGCTGCTGCTCTACTCCTTTGGTGAGTGGCCGTGCCAGGGCTGCAGGGGGCCATGATGGGGGGCTGGGGCCAGGTCACACTCCCTCCTCTGGGCTGACGGGCACCTTCCCAATGTTTTCCCCACTAGCCGCTGCGGTCGTGGTGCCTTGCCTGTCCACTGTGGTTGCCGGCTACGGTGAGAGCCCTGTCCCTGAGGCCACCCAGGGTGGGAGGCCAGCAGGCACCTAACTGGGCCTCTCGCTACAGGCTCGTCAGGGCAGAAAGGCACTGTCATGGGCACTCTGCGGAGCCTGGGAGCCCTGGCTAGAGCGGTGGGGCCCATGGTGGCTGCCTCAGGTGAGACCCGTGGAACAGTCCTCAGGGGCAGGCAGGATGTCCTGGGGGCCTGCCTGAGCTGCCTGTGCCTGCCCTGGCCTCTCCAGTCCCAGCCCACCCAAAGTCACTGCTCAGTCCTGCCAGCAGAGGGCCGAGGGCCAGGTGGGAGCGGGTGGGCGGCCATGCCATGGGCCCGGGCGAGCGCCCCCCCCATCTCTCTGCAGTGTACTGGTTGGCTGGGGCCCAGGTCTGCTTCACCGTGTGCTCGGGGCTCTTCCTGCTCCCTTTCCTCCTCCTGCGGAAGCTGAGGCCCCCAGCACAGACACTCAAGGCCGAGTAACTGAGCTGCCGGTGCCCAGGCAGCAAGTGGAAGCTGGGCCAAGACCACTACCCTCCCCACCCCACCCCCGACCCCCTTCTTTCCACCCAGGGAGGCCCCGGGGAGGAGGGGCTAGGCACTCCACTGGCCCCTCCCTCAGGGTGTGGCACCCCAACAGGAAGCCTGGGCAGCTCCCCCAGGCAGCCTTATCTTCTGTCCTCTCACTCCTGGAGCTGAGGCTGTTTCACTCCAAGCAGGGTTAGTGACTCCAGGGCCCTCAAGGTTTCTGTTCGTCAGCAGCACAGGCCATTGGCCTGCCTTCTGAGTGACACAATAAAGCAGCTATTTTATACCACGTGCCTCTCTTGTGTACGGGACTGTGCCTCACCCACCGCCACCGGGAGAGGCAGCTGGAGCTGAACTGCTTTTATAGCTCCACTGACCAGAAGAGCATGAAGCTCTTCAAAAGCCTGTTTCCCCTTCTGCACAGTGGAGTGTGATTGGATGCAGGATGGTACAAGGCCAGAGTCTGCCCTTATGAGGTGGTTTGGGCACATGCCCTGCACCCTGGCAGACTGGAGAGAGAACCCTTCTGCTGGAGGGACCCTCGGCATCTCTGTCAGACATGGGCACACTGCTGTCTGCTGCAGCAGTGAGGCTGGTTTAGAAGCCCCTCCCCGGTCGACAGCTACAATTGACATTTGGTCAAGCAATAAGCTCTTGGGGGATCTTCTAAAAATCCTACAAAGAGGGCCAGCCTGTGGCTCACTCGGTAGAGTGCGGTGCTGATAGCACCAAGGCCGCGGGTTCGGATCCCATATAGGGATGGCCGGTTTGCTCACTGGCTGAGCGTGGTGCTGACAGCACCAAGCCAAGGGTTGAGATCCCCTTACCGGTCATCTTTTAAAAAAAAAATAATAATAAAAATAAAAAATAAAAATCCTACAAAGAGATAAAAGAGTAAAACTGCTTCCCAGATTTAGACAAGGAAACTGATTAAAGAATTTTATTTGTGAGTAAAACATGTTACAATGAAGAAAGGACATATAAGACCTGTACTCCCAAGTCTGTGTCCATATATGCAACTATAGTTCATGTTGTAATACAAAGAATTAAAATACAAAAGGGAAAATTAAAAGTCATTGCATATGTGGGATAAAAGGAAGGGATACAAGGAAGAGTCCATGGTCAGGTGGAGTACGGGGTGAGGTGCAGAACTTCAGTACCACCTTGGCAACGTAACGGTACACAGAAGAGAAGCAGCTTGCTTACGAGTGGAGCAGGCCCTGCAGGGTCCAGGGAAGCTCGAAGCAGCGGTCAGTGCCATACAGCCAGCCTCAGGTCTTGCTTGGGTGTTGAGTCAGTGAGATCAGAGGTGGCCCAGGACCCAAGCCAACATCGGGCACCAGCTCTGCCAGGGGCCTCCTCCCTCTGCAGGCCTATCTGGGGCTAAGGCTTGCCTGCTGCTAGTCAGGCTGGAACCAGGCAGCTCCTGGAGTGGGTTTCCCTCAAGGACTCCACATGGCCACCTGCCAGTTCCCTACAGGCTGCTTCAAGCTCTCGGCCAGAGATGTGAAAATTCACAAGTGTCAGTCAAGGAGAGCAAGTTACAGTGCCATATATGATGCAAGATGTTAGGGACCGTCAGGGTCCCTTGAACTCTACCTTGAACTCCCTTTTATCAACACCAGGGCATCCCTACTCAGTTCCGAAACCTTCCCCAGTATAGGTAAACAGTGCTCAAATGCAGTCTGCTGCAGGCTCTAGAAAGAAAACAAAGCAAGAAGTGGCCCATTGGTGTTCACAGTTAAAAACGCAGGTTGAACTGCAAACTCACTGAAAGGAAATTCAAGCAAGGACTCTTCCCCTCCCGAAATACCTTCCCTATGACAGGAATCCAGAGACCCCAGTGGGTAGAAACTAGGAGCTCCTGAATCTGCTTCTGGTCGAGGGGTAATCAGTCAGACCGTGCATAGTGTTGGCTGGGTGTGCACAGGCCTATGTGCCACACTGGGTTTCTGGCCCAGCGTCCAGCCCAGACCTGCCACCTCAAAGTGACCATGGTGCCCAGGGCTGTTGGCGGGCATGTGAGTATTTTCAGGGGACCAAGCCTATGTGTACAAGAGTAAAGTGAGACCACTGAGCAGATGATGTCAGCGGGACGCCACGAGTCTGACTGAGTCACCTGAGACGCTGTGTGTGCAGGGGGAAGCCGAGCGATAGGGAGGAGAGCGACAGGAAGTCAAGGCTCTGGGGGTGAAGCCTGTAACCAGAGCAGGCAGAAGCCTTGGGGACCTTCCAGCCAGGACCATGACTCAGCACCCCCTCCACCCATGGGGAGAGCAAGTGGAGCCCGTCTCCCCAGAGCCTGAGGCCGAGGGCCCGTGGGGGCACAGCGGGGGCGGCTGAGCACACACTCGGTTGGCACCAGTCTGCAGGGGGCTGGGCACGTGGGTCGGGCGCTCTAGCTACGTGGGGGGCGTGGCTCTTTGCATTCCATTACACGAGGGGACAGAACACGAGATGCAAGCGGGGACTCCGGCAGAGCTAGGCAGGCCTGGGACACGACGGTGCCGTGCGGCCTTCAGGAGTCGCTCCTCTTCTTGCTCTTCTTCAGGAAGGACGGGGTGCGGAACTTCTTCTTCTTCTTGGATGGGGACTTGCCCGGGGACCCCTCACTGCCAGGGTCCACGGCAGCCCCCTCCTCCACAGCGGCGGAGGCAGCCTCTCCAGCCACCGGGGCTGGCGCTGGCTCAGGGCTGGCCTCAGGGGGGGCTTTGGTGGGGCTTGGGGGTCCAGTGGCTTCCTCCTCCTCCTCTAACACCGGGAAGCCAAGCGCTTCTGAAGGCTCGTCAGGGGACAGGTCAGGGAGAGTCGGCTTGAAGGTGGCAGCGTCACTGTCGTCTCCAGAAGTCGGCTCCTGTGGAAGGTCTGGTGGGAGGGGGTGATAAAGATGGGGTGAGGGCTCCTGCCCAGATCTCAAAGGGACAGCTTGACATAAGTGCCCAGCACAGGGAACTACCTGTCGCTCTATGGATTTTTACCAAGACAAAAACCTTCAAATATGGTCTACTCGACTTTAGGGCTGGATGTAGCTAATGCTACGAAACACAGACTCAACCTCAGGGCGGTTTTTAGCTCCTTCCCGTGGACAGCAAGCTGACAATACCAGGCTTCACCGCAGGGTCCCGGTCCCCAGTCACAAGGCCAGCCTACAGCAGGGCAAGCTGCGAGCGCGTCTCACAGGCTACACCCGGGGGGAGGTTTCCTCCAGGACCCCAAGGGCACATGTTAGTAGTCCCAAAGGGAAGCCTAAACTTGGGGCCACAACACCTGGTCTCCACCAAGGCAGCCAGTAGAAAACCGTGAGAAAAGCCCCAGACCCACATGCAGCATCAACATCCAAGAAAATAAAGCCCTGTAGGCTGGAGAGTTAATCCGAAGAAACAAGATGGGCTGCAAGGCAAGGAGTAGGAGCGAAAGAAAATCCAGCCATCTTGACCATGGGATCATCTGAACATAAAAGACCAAAATGTACTTGTTTTAGAGAAACAGCCTGCGGACAGGTTCCCATCTAGTCCCATTGTGTGCTTTCTACATGGACCCAGGGGATGCCAGTTTTTAATATTTTTAAATAGCCTACGAAGTTAGAAGCGATTGGCATGTTAGGCAACACCAAACCAGTTAGTACTTAAACAGCAAGCCAGACATCGGGCCGGGGAGGCGTGGAGCTAAGCGCGGGTTAGGAGCAGCCGCGGGAGGCTCTGGGCCCGGACACTTAGTGCTTCAGCTGTGGGAGGCCACACTGCCCCGCCCCCGCCCCGTTAGCAGCCTCTGCCCTCGGATAACGCAGCGCCACACTTCACAGGCAGGAGGGAGGGCTGTGGGTGCACAGGCGCCCCAGCAGGGGTGAGGGTGCCCTCTGCCAAGCGTGCTGCAGTTAGTGCTCCAGACAGGCTGCCTGGGGGTGCTCGGAGTAACTGCCACCTGACCAAATGTCACATGTTTTTAAAAGGACCCAATATCACTCTTCTGATCACCTCAAATGACCAGCCCCAGCTTAAGCAAAGGTTCATACAAATCCAACTCCATGCCCGTGTGGCAGAATCGCCCCCTGCCTTGACTAGGTCTGGATTTGTCTGAATTTACAGCAAAACCTTCCCACCAAGCAGTCAAAAGAGATTCTCAAAGGCTGAAGATAGGATCTTCGGGGGCCCAGAGTGAAGCAGCGCTGACGCATGACGCGGGAGCCGCAGCGGAGGCATCCCTCTGCCCATGCAAGCTGCTCACCGCACAGCACTCAGGTGACCAAGCCACAGCCAGGAAGGCCACTGAGGAACTGGGTATAAAAAAGGGGCCTCTTTTTATTTTGAATAAACAGAAAACAATACTTAATAAACAACAAAGAAGCAGGAGAATGAGGCAAAGCACAGGGCATTCTGGTTAAAGAGCAGAGGGCCAGACGCGGGTGGTACTTACTAGGGTAACAGGTACTCTTTAGCACATCCATCTCCTGATTGTGATGCAGCCACAAGAAGAGAAAAGCACAAGTAGAGAATCTATGCATTCAGTCACAGCCGCGGGTTACATAAGAAGAAAGGCCGAGCCATTCTTGGAGGACACAGGACGGGGTGGGGAGGTGAGCCACAGGCTTCACAGGAGACAGGCATGTACGAGACCAAAGGACAGACACATCTGATCACACACCACAGACATGCGGTGGTCTGAGAGGCGAAGGGAGTACAGCACTCTCGGTGGGCTGATTAATACAGCAAGTCAAAAGCCCTGCAGCCCAAACACCAATGGAAGGCACTTCCAGCGTGTCATCTAGACACAGTAAGGTACGAGAAGTGTGACAGAAAGGGCAAAACTGGCATCAGAAACGACGGTGGCTCTGATCCCTGGAGTGTGCCCTCCCATCTGGTCACAGCAGCTCACCACCAAATCTGTTTTGCCTCAAGTTACCCAGGACAGAACCAACGCAGGAGGAGAAAAGGCCGGGGAGCGTGCTGGTCTCGATGCAAACGTGCACTTTACTAGTGCTAACAGCACTACTGCCACATTCGGCTGCCAGGGCACACAGGCCATGCCCCCTCCCACAGCGGGGCAGCCACACAGCCGCCTCCACCCCGGAGCTCACCTTCCTCGAGCTTGATGGGCGTGCTGGGGGGTGTGTGCGGGACGGCGGACTGGTCTGGAGGACTCTTTTCTTTCTGCTCTGTCGTCTCATCCAGATTCTCTGCAGACATACACAAAGCAAGAACACGGTAAACAGTCGCAGACTGCAGGAGCCTTCGCCCTCCTCAATGACAGACAGGTCGGCCCTCCCGCCAGCCTCCGAGGGGGCACTGGGCTTCTTGGCACATCCCGAAAAAGCAGGAAGGGCTCACAGCCATGGATGAGTTCACCCTTTTCCTTACTCTTCTCCAAAAGAGGATGAAGGAAGAAGCTAACTATGAGTGGGGTGTTGATTCTGAATTTCAGAAAAATTTAACCAACTTTGGATAAAAAATTAATTTCTATTCTTATTCCAAAGAACATCTACCAGAGCGGCCTCTGTGACAGACTGTGACTGGTGAGCCCTGGACTGTCCTCCCCTGTCCTCTGTAAGGAACGCCTCCCTCGCTGCCTGGCCTTTCTCACGGCTGAGCGAGAGGCCAGGGGTCCTGAGACCCCCACTCTCTCACCACCTCAAGGGACACTAGCATTGCTTTCATTTTAGTTTTTTATGTAAGGTGTCTTCTACCAGTAATGTAAACTTGGCAACTGTAATGCACAGTTTTATTTTCTAAAGTGAAATATGCTGATAAGTGGGCCGGCCCGTGGCTCACTCGGTAGAGTGTTGTGCTAATAACACCAAGGCCACGGGTTCGGATCCCATATAGGGATGGCCGATTCGCTCACTGGGTGAGCGTGGTGCTGACAACACCAAGTCAAGGGTTAAGATCCCCTTACCGGTCATCTTTTAAAAAAAAAAAAAAAAAAAAAGAAATATGCTGATAAGGACCAGAGGGAAAAAACACAGGAACTAGGACCCCAGATCCAGAACATTTTAAGTTTACTTCTCATTTAGGGAAAAATATGTGTCAATATTATCCTAATTCCTTAAATCTCCTTCTTTCATTCAAAATTTGTTAATTAATAGCTTAGGATCACTAGGTCCCATACTTTGAACAATCAGCTACAACCACCCTTCTGAGCTCACCAAGGCCCCTGATCTCGCAGAGACTCAACTCCAACAGGTGATCTACCTTCCTGACCCCCGAGTCAGCCACTGCCTTTCTGAAGCAAGTGCTATAAAGGCCTTCACATCTCCAACCTGAGTGAACAAACTGCCTCCACCAGGAAAAATGCTGACTGTTAACAGCCTGAGCTTTACCTGCGGCACACACCTCTCCCTCCCCAGTCCTGTCCACCAAGGGCCACAGCAGCAACAGGCAGGGGTCTTCTGGCAATGCCCTGGTGGCACTCCCACTGCTGGCAGCCCTGTGGTCACACAGCATGGTCACAGCAGTCTCCACCCACTCACGTGCCACATCTCTGCTGTGAGAGCCTCACACGCAGGGGAAACTCTGAGTGTCTCATCTGACTCAAAAATAAAAAGAGAAAAATCCAGGTACCCAGATCCTGGAAAAGTCCAGAGGGCAGACGCATACGTGTGCGTGTGCACAGGCACTGGGATTAGGCCACGTGACCAGTAGCTCAAGCTGACACGCTACCTCTAGTCCTCACGCTGATGCAGGTACTGATGGTCACAGCTCAAAGCTTTCTGCAGACAAAGCTGCCTGTGCCATTCAAGGGGGACAACCGGAATCAGAGCTCCACATGACACAAAGATTTCAAGAGCAAGTGACAGTGTAACACACACTGAAAATCAATTCAGCAACAGTTTTTGCACAACTCAAATTTCGATAGCAGCTACATAACAAAATAGTTGGTCTAAGACAAGACTAAAAAACAGTTCAGTCAGGGCAAATTACTGTCACAGGAGCAGTACACAGTTCCCCAGGATGACCCCAATGGCCCAGGAGGGCAATGGTCAGTCCCATACATCAAGCAGCAGGGCAGACCCTGGAGGGCAAACTGAGGAGCACACCAGGTTTCAGTAGAAAGGTTTGAGGTAGAGATTAAGGCTCTGAGGACTCTGGCATGAACCTCCTTGGGGATCATCTGTGCCCCAGGGTCTTCATGGAGCCAGCCAAGGGTGCTCAGGGCACCCTGAGCGGACAAGAGGGATGGCAGCGGGAAGCCCGGGGAGGAAGTGACAGCCCTGCGAGAACCCTCACAACAGAGGCAGTGGGAGGCCTGCTTCCGCCGTTAGTTCTCAAGATGTGTGGATTTCCTGAAACCTCAAGTTTGAAGACACCTGCTCCATGAGCTTCTGACCCTTACAGCCATTTATTTTCATTTGCTGTAAAATTGTCCCATCACCTTTTACAAAAACATGACCACCTTTCTCACTAAGTTACCAAGAGAAATAAAGGCTGCACCAGCATACAGCCACTCTTGACGTGGTCTAGAAATGTGCCAGAGCAGGCAGCACAGTGACCCACAATCACCCCACACAGAGAGACCCTTGGGGTTTATGGATAAAGAGAGTATGCTGGAAACCCCAAGCCATAAATACAACTGTAATAAGGACGTTCAGGCATCCATTCACAGAGGCCAACTGGATACTCAGTGATAAAGATGACAGACTGTCCCCAAGTCCAGGCTCTGCCACACACATCCTTGTTCTTGGGGAGCTGCTTTGTTTCTGAGCCCAAGTTCCATGTTCCAGGTAGTGTGAACAGGCCCATCTCCCGGGTTACTGTGAGAATGAGATGAGATGTATGCACAGACAGCACTCAGCACGGTGCCTGACCCAGCGTAACAGCGCAGTCAGGATTAGTGAGTGTGAAAGAGAGAAATCTCTCTTAAAATTAATATTCAGGCTAGCTTTCCAGCTACCTAATCCAAACCAGTAAATTCGTTTATGAATGTTCTGATCGACCCACGTGATGGAACTCCACCGAAAGAACAGCCAGTGCCCCTCACGGCACAGAGCTCTGTGGACGGCAGAGCATGCCTGGGAGCACCGCCAAGGCCCCTCCTGCCTCAACACAGCTTCTGGCAAGCAGGCCAGCCTGGGGCTCAGCACCCCCATGTCTGTGACAGCACACACACTGTCACCGTAGAGCTCTCTGACATCGTCTCTTACAGGTGTTGCTCCTGACCAGGACCACTCACAAGTGTGTTTAACTGTGCAGCTCCTTCAGATCTAGCCCAGATGATTAGGCTGCAGATGCGTTCCAAGTAATGTTCTGCTCTCACCCAGACACGCACAAGCCTGTTCTCATGGGCACCTGCAGTCCACAGCTGGACTGCAGGGACGTTCCCGCAGCACTCACCTGCACAGCCCTTCCTCTTGCGCTCCACCTCCCTCCGGTATTCCTCCAGCTCCCGGTCCGTGAGCGTGTTGAAGGGGTTGGGGCCCGTGGTGCTCACGATGACGTGGGGCTGGTACTCTTTCTCAATGATGGCCTTGGAGGCCGTCACCAGCTCCCCCTGTGGATGAAAGGGAGGCCTAGTCTGCAGGAGCCTGGCCCAGCGGGGCTTTCCCTCCCTCTCCCCAGGCAGGCTGCAGCAGAGGGGACCAGAGGCTTTCCAGGAGCAGACAGACACCCCCGAGACTGCACTGCTGTGGGCCGAGGCCGAGCTGCAGCCTTCAGTGATAGAAGACATGGAAACACAGTTCAACGCTACAACACAAACGCAATGGAGAAGAAACCCTACGTAAGTCCTTCAGGTTTCAGAAACAAAGGCACCAAAGTATAGACCCAAGAGCACAGACCACCTTGAGGAGGGTCCCATTTCCTCACTGCCAGACAGGAATGGAAGAGGGCCCTTTCCTGTTACTGTTTAAACACCTATCACCTTCCCTCATGACATCAGAAAATGTCTCCAGTTACGACACTCAGGGTAAGGTATGCTCGGAGATGTGCTTATATTCTAAAGAGCACAAACAAGTTCTGTTCTTTTGACTATGCATTTAGGTTATAACTAGGTCCTGGAACTTATTTCAAAATATCCAGAGATAAAAAATGTCCCAAGAAACTGGTGTCTGAGGAATCTGGAAAACTGTGAGAATTTCTATCAAAGAAAAAAAGGACAGGGCCAGCCCGGTGGCGCACTGGAGAGTGCACCGCTTGGGAGCGTGGCGGCGCTCCTGCCGAGGGTTCGGATCCCATGTGGAGACCAGTTCC